TAAAGTCCAACAAAAATGTGATGGGAAACCCTTTGGCTTTCTTAATAAAGTTAATCGATTCTGCAATGTTGCTCGTCTTTATGTTGTACCTATCTCCCGGAAAATGAACTCGGGACCATAGTCTTGGGTCCGCTTCCTCCATGTATGTTGCAAGTGCGGGGTTTACCTCTCGAAGTGCATCCATGTATCGGTTATAGTCATGAGGCGTATGAGCATAAGCAGCGCCTTTCACCAAGTACAAGAGTTGCTTCCCATGAAAGTGTGTCACTATGTTTTGTTGTAGATGATAGTAACATATACCACGTGTTGCCCAAGGTAGCACATTTTTACATGCGTTAGCGATAGAATCGTGCCGATCAGAAACTATGACCAGCGGATATTGGTGAGAGAAATAACTACTTAATTTGGTGAAAAACCAATTCCATGAAGCATGACACTCAGAATCAACAACTGCAAAAGCCAATGGGAATATCTGAAAGTTACCATCTTGTGCTGCTGCAACTAGCAAAACACCTCCATACTTCCCATTAAGATGAGTCCCATCTACCACAATCAACCTCCTCACATACTGAAAACCAGCAATGGAAGCTCCAAAAGAAATAAATAGATATTTAAACCGATTCATCTCATCGCATACAAGGTCGGTGACACTTCCCGGGTTGGCTCTCTTAATTTCTCGCAAGTAAAAAGGCAGCTTATCATATCCATCTTCTGCAGTTCCTCTCATCAATTGTTGAGCATATATCAAAGCTCTATAAGAAGTGGTGTAATCAAGGTTCAGACCAAACATTACCTTCACGGAGTCTTTGATATGCTTTGGCACAATTCCATCGATTATGCCAACATGTTCAGTGAATAGAGCTCCAACGTACTTAGGTGTACTTCGTCTACGCTGAGCTGCTCGGTCTGACAAGGAACAAGTATGAATCTTTACATATTTTGTTACCCAGAATGTGTTGGCTTCATTCTTCACACCCGCTCTAAGCCTCCATGCACATCCTTTAACAAAGCAATTTGCAACGAACAATGTCTTCGTAGACTTGTATACTTTAAATGCAAATCTTGTAGTCACTGCTGCCAATCTCAATGCTGATACAAGCTTCTCACTAGGAAAACTCTGATTGACAAAGATATTAGTGGACCAACCAGTATTCCATTGTTGTACTTTACCACCACAATGTGCTTTCAGACCCTCAGAAACAAAAGACATATCAGGTTCATCCTCATCCTCGTCTTGCACTTTCCCATACTCGCTGTAATCCACATCCGAATCATCAGTCTCATATTCTGCTTTCACATTTGCATCAGACTCATCATCGTCATTGCCATCATCAGCGTCTTCATCCCACTCTTCAGCAGCATCTTCACTCACATCATCATCACAGTAATCCGCTTCTCCACTCACATCAACATTCCCATACTTTATTTTTCTACTTGAAACACAAAGGTGTACACCATGCATCTTACTCAACTCAATTAAGCTTTGTACGTGTCTATCATTTGTAACATACATAGGAGGAGAATCAGGAGGCATTTGTTGAAGCATCACAGATGGTAATGGATAGGATAACTCCACAATCTCGGTTTCCTTTTCCACCATATAATAATCCTCTTCTGCCATTTTAAGAAGCTCACCATGTGTGCAACCATCTCTTAAGAAGAACAATCTCCCTCCTTTGCGATTATCCACCAAGAAATGCCACAACAAGTCTTTCCTCACCCATTCTCCATAAACAGTGGGTATGTGAACCATTCTCTGTCAGAAAACAAAATTGAAACCACATTAGAAATCATTGTCTATTTATGTAGACTTCACCTGAAGTCTACAGACTGATAAGCTAAATACCAAATAAATCAAGAAAATTGATTTCACCAAATACATATAATATAAACATCTAAAACTTATTCATATGTAAGTAAACTTACTAAAACAGTCGTAAGATTAAAAAAATCTTAAAAAATCGTTGAAAATTTCATGAAAATGAGTTTTTTTTTTAAAAAAGTGTAAATATAGACTAACGGAGAAGTCTACTTATGTAGACTTCACATGAAGTCTACAGACTAATAAGCTAAATACCAAATAAATCAAGAAAATCGATTTCACCAAATACATATAATATAAACATCTAAAACTTATTCATATGTAAGTAAACTTACTAAAACAGTCGTAAGATTAATAAAATCTTAAAAAATCGTTGTAAATTTCATGAAAATGAGTTTTTTTAAAAAAGTGTAAATATAGACTAACGGAGAAGTCTACTTATGTAGACTTCACATGAAGTCTACAGACTATTAAGCTAAATACCAAATAAATCAAGAAAATCGATTTCACCAAATACATATAATATAAACATCTAAAACTTATTCATATGTAAGTAAACTTACTAAAACAGTTGTAAGATTAATAAAATCTTAAAAAATCATTGTAAATTTCATGAAAATGAGTTTTTTTAAAAAAGTTTAAATGTAGACTAACGAAGAAGTCTACTTATGTAGACTTCACCTGAAGTCTAAATTTTAGGTTACTTTTGCAATTGGAAAAAGATGAGTAGACTTCTTCAAAGAAGTCTACTCACTCCGAGAAGTCTATTAGAGAAGTCTACGTAAAAAATGGTTAGTTTTGCAATTGACCAAACTTTGACTTTTTCTTAAAAAGTCTACTTTTCTAAGTAGACTTCTCCAAAGAAGTCTACTTTCAAAGTAGACTTCAAAGAGGTTAGTTTTGCAATTGACCAAGGTTGACTTTCCCATGTAGACTTTGTTTGTAGTCTACTCATAGAGTAGACTGCAAACGAAGTCTACTTGGGTTAGTTTTGGGGTTGACCAAATATTGAATCTATTTCCATGTAGACTTCTTTTGAAGTCTACTTAAAGTAGACGTCTTAAGAAGTCTACGTTCCGGAGTATATACGATCGGAAAACTCAAGAAAATCGACTGAAAAATCACCTACCAGTGATATTTAGCTTCTTCAACCGCCGATTACTTCGATTCTAGCAACCACCAAATAAGCCCAATCGATTTGCTTGGCCAAATAACCAGATATGACACTATCTTAGAACATAAAGTTTCAAAAACTTAGATTAGAGAGTTTTTGTGCTGAAAATGGAGAAATAATGGAAGAGTACAAGGTTAAGAGGAGAGAAAATGAGGTTACAAAGCTAAAAAATGGGTCTTTGAAGCAATAAAAGCTTCGAATTGGTTGAAAATGGTGGTTGAGAGAATTGATGGTGATGGCATTTTCGTGAATAAGTGAGGAGGATGAGGATTGTTTGGTAAAATGAATTACCGAAATAATAATAAAAAAAAAATAATCTAATGGCATTTCTGTAAATAAATAGAACTGATAAGGATATAAATGAGATAAAATGGTTAATTTCAAAAGTGGGAAAATAGGGAGTTAGTTTAGCAATTGACTTTGATTTGTGGGTCATTTTTGCAAGATCCCCATAAAATAATTATCATCACAGCTGTACACACGTATATATAATACCATAAATACCATATATTGAAACTATATACAAAACATTCCTATAAGTTACTAACAGTTTTATTTAATTATTGGAAAATAGACAAATTTTTGGAGATGTTTTTAGAGATATCAAAATTACATGGAAACAGTTATTTCTTTTTTGGAGATGTCAAAAATCCATGGAAATAATAATTTATTTTTCGGAAATGTTAAAAAATACATAGAAATAGTTATTTCTTTTTTGAGCAATGGTTTACATGGAAACAGTTATTCTTCCATTTGAATACATGAACATTGTCACTCGTATTTAATTTGACAGACGTGACTATTTTAACGGAGCCATCAAAGACGAGTTAAAGGAAATATGTGCTAATAGAGGATTATCTCATCTCAAATGATTTCTTATAGAGAGGGCTATCTTATCTCAAATGATTTGAATGTCTTTTATTTACATCTTAAACGATATATTTTAGTGAGTTAAAATATATATTAAAACTATGGGATCCAACTTATATACATTCTTAAAAAATTAGAGTAATTAAAAAACAAATACATATGTATATAGGTCATACTCCTTAAATTTGATAATTAGTGGTTTGGAAAGGATCTAGCCAATAAAAAGGATGTACGGTATATGCAAGTATACCGAGTTTGAGATGTCTCTTGGTGCAACAGAACGAGCTAGAGCTATCTTTGAGCTTGCGATATCTCAGCACGCTCTTGACATGCCGAGCTCCTATGGAAGTATAGAGGACACGAGGTTTATATGAGAGGACCGTACTAAGCATTACAAGGTGTGGGTTAGTTTTGCAAAGTTTGAGGCGAAAGAAGAAGACACTAGTAAAAAACCTGGCTATAGCCACTGTCTCTTTCGTGACTAACGCAAAAATACCGTGGCTATATGGTCTTATAGCCACGAAAAGTCACGGGGAAAAACCGTAGCTATACGATCGTGACTAATTTATTTCGTGGCTTTTCGTGGCTACATAGCCACGAATTAGTCACTAGTGTATTTCGTGGCTATGTTAGTCACGAATTAGTCACGCATTTATTCGTGTCTATATAGTCACGAATTAGTCACTGCTTTTCGTGGCAACCTTAGTCATAAATTAGTCACACACTTATCCGTGTCTATGTTAGTCACGAATTAGTCACGCGATTATTCGTGTCTATATAGCCACAAATTAGTCACTGCTTTTCGTGGCAACCTTAGTCACGAATTACTCACACACTTATCTGTGTCTATGTAGCCACGACTTATTCGTGGCTATTGCGTGACTAGTTTAGCTACGAAATATTAGTGACTTAACCGTGGCTATGGATTTAAAAAAGGAAAAAAAAATATTTTCGAATTTTAATAATAAAAACATATTGCTAAACCATAACAAATCATGTTGCTAAACCATCATATAAAATACGAAAATGCAATAATCAATTAGAATATTATACATCAAAAAGTGTTTGAAACATAACATAAAAGTTTAAGAAACAGTTTAACATTCAAAAACATGAAAAATACTAGAAAAAAAACTAATCTCCTAATAAAAAAGCACACATCTCATCTAGTGTAGGTTGTTGTTGACTTGGGTTTGTGGTGTTAGCAGGATTTGTAGAGGCAGCAGCAGCAGCAGGGGGCGGAGAGGCATCAACAGCAGTAGTAGAAAGCGGAGTGGTACCAACCTTTTGTAGGAATGCATTTAGTACTGCCACCATTTCATTCTTGACTGTGGCCAACTCTTCCTTGAACTCACCCCTCATCGCCAACACATCTTCCTTGAGCGTTTCAATATTGCTGTTGACAGCTTTTGAATTAGCCTCCAAACCGGATATACGCATGTCCATGTCGACAGTGTGTGTATGAGATTCATGGACTGTCTCGGTCGGAGTGAAATCCCAAAACTGCACACTGCCTATTCCGTATACTCTCCCTCGCTTTGTCTTACTGCGCTGTAAAAATAAACAAATATACAAAGTCAGAGACAAAACAGTCTAAAAACACATTCTTAAACACTACAAAATAGCAACTCGAGACGAATCACAACACAAACACATGGCTAACATGAAACGTCAAAACGAGTCACCAAACAAACAAGTCAAAACGAGTCACAACACAAACACAAAACCATTATAGCCAACAAGTCGATCCATAACACAAACCCAAATCCATTTCCCTAACTATCATCAAACAGCGAGTAAAGCCTAACTATCATCAAACAGCGAGTAAAGCAATAAGTGAGTTATTGTAGAGTACCTTGAGAAATTCTTGGTTGAGGAGAATGCGAGTAGGAATTGCAGACGTTGCAGCTGTTGAGGTGCCTTGGCTGTCAGAATGAGGAGATCCATCATCAGCTGTCATCTCTGCCACGGCCTCCTCTACTTCAAGAACAAGAGATTCTGATCGACCATCAACGAAAGTTCCATCTGACCGCGTGTGTGTCTTACGCACGAGATCGGTGTAAGGTGGCGGTTCATCAAGACCAGACTCCACCATCTGGAAAACATGTAAACATGTAGATAAATAAATAAGTAGAGAATATAACATATTAAAGATTAAAAAAGGGAGAGAAAAATATTCACGTATCATGTCATATTCGATCTTTAAAAAGTTTTGAGGACCTGCACAATGCTTGTGTACCCCTTTCTCACCTTGGGGTGTCATGCGAGATGAAGCCGCTGACTTGCTCCTTTTACGGGCTGGTTCTGTTGAAAAAAACTCCAGCAGAGTGGTCTAGTCAGATTCGCTTATGAAATTAGGCTTCTGGTTCAGTCTCTTCTTCTTACTGATCTTTTGGCATATTGTTGTCTGTGTGTGCAACTTCCAAAGACGTTACACCTCGGATTTAAAACGATTTTCCCAGTAGTAGTTTTGCTACAATGAAAACAATGAACATTAATATATGTATTACCATAAAAGTAAACAACAAATAATTCTGAAACAAGCACAACACTTACCACAAAAGTCTGCCACCACTTATCTTTCCTCTCTTGAGGAACAAATTTCCAGCTACTCCATGGTCCCATGTAGTAGGCTTGCCATGTTGTTCGGATGAATTTGTGGACAGAGGGGTCTACACCGAACCTGAGATAAGAAGAACTACAATCAGAGAAGACAATACATTATAAGAAGAAATAAGAGAACTCGGTTATGTAGAGAACTTACCATAAAGCGCCATTGAGTTTCCTTGGATGGAGGTGTGGCTGAAGCTCTCTCGAGGGAGCATTCAATAATGCATCTAGGGTCATACGGTTGTAGTTATTAGCACCTGAAGATGCAGCGCTTGGTGGCATGGCAGGCCCACTTGTAGATCCAACAGCTCCTGGTGGCAAGTGAGGACCTGAAGAGATTCTAGACCCTACAGCTCCTGGTGGTATGACATGACCTGTCAAAACAACAAAAACATAACTTAAGAACAATAAAGATTATAGCTAAACACATATATACACGCTCACACATAAGAACAATGTGATAAATAATTAATGGAAAGCTTGAAAGCAAATTCTAGTCGAAACTTGAAGCTATAATTAATCTGGTTTTTTTTGGGGGTAAAATCAAAACATCATCATACTATACAGAAGCCAGAGTCAATGTCTTCAGTTTGATTAGAGTAGTTACTAAAGTACGAATGCAGAGGAAGGCATATAAAGTGAAAGCTAGAAAGAAAAAAAAAAGAAATCTTAAAATGTAGAAGACAAGAAGAATCTCAGTATGAATCTGGAAGCTTTATATCAACAAGACAACACTTGGAGTCTATAAAGAAACGAATTTGGTTAAGTGATCAAGCTTTACATGAACAAATCAAATAGCTTATGAAAATTATTGACAGTTGAAACAACATAATCAAAAATTAGTGACAGTTTCGCGAAAATTATTGACAGGGTGATAAAAATTAGTGACAGTTTCGCAAAAATTAGTAACCCAAATTCTAGTCAAAAATTCAAGCAAGAAAAACCCCAATCAAAACTCAATTCGAACTCCAAACAAACAAAAATTAGCCACACAAAAGAAACCCCAAATCAAAACCCTAAATCTAATCCAAACTTCAATCAAAACGATAAACCCTAATTTTTATAGATCCAGAAGACTTACCCGAGTCGTGGTTGTTGGCGGTGACTGGGTTACGGCGGTTTTGTCGGTTTTGGCGAGGAGGAGCCATTGAGAGAGAAGAGAGATCGACAAAGAGAGAAGAGAGATCGACAAAGAGAGAAGAGAGATCGTTAGGACACGATGAAGATGAAGAGCAAGAGATTGTTTACGATTTAGGAATCGAACAAGAGATAGAGTGAGGTATCGAGAGGAAGAAGCTGGGAGAAGAAAACGATAAAGGTTCGAGAGGAAGAAGACGAGATAGAAAATTTTTGTTAAGTGTTGGGTCGAATATTTGCGGTAAAGTTGATTTGGTGGGATAAACCAAAATTTGGTGGGATCAACCAAAATTTGGTGGGATAAACCAAATTAATAGGAGGGAAACCAAAATTTGGTGGTTTAACCAAACAATTAATGGTTTAATTTGAATTGGTGGTTTATATTATTTTGTGCATGATTTAATCAAAAAATTAGAGAAGTTTTATAATTAAAAATTATTATAAGTACATATAAATTAAAGTAATCATAATTATAATCTCAAACTAAATAATATAAAAATTTGTTTAGATTTTATAGTAATAAGAAACAAAATTTAGTTAAATTCTAAATTTATTACAAAAATCAGTTAAATTTTTCAATTGATATTTTCAGTTTATGGTTTGATCTTAGAGTTTAAGGTTTGGTTTTAAGGTTTAGGATTTGATTTTAGAGTTTAGGGTTTGATTATAGGGTTTAGGGTTTGATTTTAGGGTTTAAGGTTTGTTCTTAATACACCATTCATAAAATCTTAGTTTTATTATAATATTTAGAAAATAAAGTTTAATTATACATATTCTTAAAGATATGATAAAACTTAATCAGAACCACAATCAGAATCAGAGTCATTTGCCAAACTTTCTAATTCACATTCCCGTTCTTCTTGGATCTCGTTCTCAGTAGCCTTAGCAAGTTCGAGAACATTCTTAGTCCGCTTGCACCTCCCGTCCTTAGTCGGACTAGGAACCCGGTCGCGACTCCATCGTAGCTATAGCGAGTTTTTTTACTAGTGAGAAGACTGCTGCTGACTGCATCAGACACGCCAGAACGGTTTCCGACAGAGTGTACGCACCGGAGTTGAAGGAAGAACGAGCTACGATCTTGGATGATTGGCTGATCATAGAGACAAGCTTTGGTGAGCTCGGGGATGTAAGTCTCGTACAGTTGAAGCTCCCCAAGAAGATTAAGAAGAGAAAGCTAGATTCTTGATTATCTCTTCTCTTCCCCAAAGAACTTCAGACGATGAATGTCAAGATTCTTAAAGCGGCTTGTAAATGAAGAAGCAGAAGGTTGTTGCTTTCGGATGATTATTGAGCTGTTTTGTATTCTTAATTCTTTATGTCATAAAACAATAGGTATACGTCTTTAGAGGTAGGATATCCTAAGTGACGATGCCATACGAGACACTTGATCCGTACGTCCAGCCATCGCTACTTCCATGTCCACGCTCCTAAAGAAGTATAATCCACATGGCTGCTCACCCACTCCAATCAGGGTCCTCGTGGTGCAGTACTGGATAGTGCAAGGTGTGTCAGAAATCTGGAATATGCAACAACTATCTCGTGTCAACTATGATACTGAGATCAAATGGCAATGTAATCCCTCTAAAAAGAGCACATTCTGTAAACTGATATGCAAGCCCATCTTAACTGAGCCTTTTCTAACCGCAACGGTAAAGCGACCATCTGGTAGCTTTATATTCACCGGAGGTATATCATGTATGTCAGTCATAAAATCACAAGAGCCGGTCATATGATTGGTGGCCCCTGTGTCAATAATCCAAGATTCGAAAAAAACGTACCCGACAAGCGATCGTGTGGTCCTTGTTTCCGTTGTGCATCATTCAATCCACTGAACCCTGTTCTTTCTGCATCAGTTATTACGCCATGCCCACCCGATGAAGATGCACCACCAGACACACCAACTGCATTCGCCGAAGCTATTTCTTTGCCTTTTCCTGCAGAAGTCTGTCCATTGCTGCGTGTTGGTTGTGACGTGCCACGGTTACGAGGTCTGTTGAGGATATCCAATCTGTCTGAAACACTGGTCAGCAACATGGCCCGTACGACCACAACTCGAGCACAACACATTCTTGTCTCTAGTATCCACACCTCCACGATTGCGAGGTTGTGACTGAGCTACGAAACTCACTCCTTCTGTTGGTTCTGTGTATGATTGGACTCCCATGCGAGAATCTTCTTCTTGAGTCAAATCATTGTAAACGTCATCAAGAGAAGGGAATGGTACTCGCGAGAGTAGGGCCGATCGAGTCGGAACGTACACTTCGTCAATTCCACGGAGGAACTCATGAACTCGATCTTTATCTCTCTCTTGTTCAAGTTCGAGATTCAGATTGCAAGAACATGAGCCACACTTGCAACTCTTCGGGGGTCGATAGCCTGTTAACGTCATCCATAACTTGTTCAGATACCCAAAATGAGCTTCGATCGGTTGGCCTCTTTGTCTTGCAGTTGCAATCTCTGTTTTGATCCTCTGAATTTTGGATCCATTTTTGATAGAGAACCTCTTCTGAATATGATCCCACAACTCACTTGCCACATCTCTGTGTGAGAGGTTGGATCTAACGCTTGGATCAATTGTTAACTTGATCAAAGAGACTATTAATGCATTATTAGTCCACCAGTCTTCAAGATCTCCAGAATCTAGTCTTGGTTGGGGAATCGTGCCATCCACGAAACCAAATTTCTTTCTCGCCTTCAATGCTAGACGAAGGCTCGATGCCCATTCGTCATAGTTCGGACCGCGAAGCAACGGCTGAGAGATTAAACTCCCTGGATTGTCGCTTGAAGTCAAGTCATACGGAGATATAGTGCGTCGTTGGACCGCAACATAGTTCGTCGAGGTTTCCACGTGTTCGCCGGTGCTTAGTTTCGACATCGGTGTGTGTTTCTTCTGTCATCGTGAAAGTTTTGATAAGAAAGAGAAACAAGTAGTCGATCAAAGAGGATGATGATCGGCCGCCGTTTAAGAATAAAACCTTAGTAGGACTCTGATAGCATGTCAGGAAACAATAGGTATAGAATAGTTTTCCTTACTTTTCTCAAGGTCAAGGACCGTGTATATATACAAGGGTTTGTATCCCCATAATGCGATATATACGAATCTACCAAGAAAGGATATATGTACATTAACATATTGTACATATAATATAAGATATCGTAATACTTTATACCTCGTCTATGACTCTGACTGCTAAATATATCAGTCACAATTTTTTTCTTTGATTCTATCTCACTTTTTTTGTTATTCTAAATATTTATATGTGTTGGACCAATTATAAACAATTTTACATAAAAATTGTTTCTCTTTGGAACCGATACGAGGTTGTCAACGAACCCTTGCCCATGCAAAAACATAAATGCATGTAAAATCTTGATTGAAAATTTAGCATTATTTTTTTAATTTTATTTTGAACTAAAATTTTCAATTAACAAAAGTTAGCATTATTATAAAGATAAAAATAAAGAACAAATTTATGAATCCAAAAATAAATTATGTATACATCAGTTCTTGGAAACTTATCTGATTTTTTCGCAATTTTCTAAACAAAATTTTGTTAATTTTCGAAGACTCTGTTTTACGAAAGACTGATGGTGTGAATAGGTTAGTTTTGAAGGGCACGTAAATTTGGTAACACTTTTTTTGAATACCGGCGCGGGTGCAATAGGTTAGTTTTGAGCCAAGACTCTTAACTTGAATCCTGTATCTTTCTCAACATCAGCGATTTCTTTAGCAATCATGGAATTCTCAAAGAGTAAACACCGCTTTGGAAAGGGTGCACGTGCAGATATGCTTTTCTTCAAGTGTACTTGAAAGTTGAAACTCGTTTCAGGATATACCACTAAGGCACTGATGCAAGGAAAAATACTTGTTTCAGTTTCTGTGGAAATATCTCATAACAATATTGGACATATCGGTCTTTGACTAATCAATAAAACAAAATACAAATTCAATAACAAGAACAATGACCAGAAAATAACACAAAATATTAATGAACAATACTGGATAAAACTATTATGTGTGGACAAAGTTTCTCACAATATAATAGAAACAAAAGGTCGAGACATGCTGATTGTTGCGCAGAACACCTAAATATCTACCATACGATGAACCAAGATGTTTAATCTTCGATAACCAAGAACACAATATTGATCCAGAACTTTTTAGAACTAGCATGTGTGGACAACGCTTCTTACAATAGGAACATAAAGGTCAAGGCGTCTTGGTACTTGTATCCTTCCCATAAGAAAGAGTTAGTATA